CTGCTGCATAAATGGCCAAGATGGGAACCATTTTCATTTTGCGTCTCAGCGGTCGAGGACAATCTTGGACAGTTAGTGGCTTGGGCAAAAGCAGCACCGTACTTTCGTGAACTTGAGGTTATATGCCATGATGAGATGCCACTTAACTGTAAATCCTTTTTTAGATGGCTGATCAAATGCAACTCTTGCATGCGAGCTGGGCTTCCGTCCATATCTCCGACTTCACCTACGCAGCAGTTGTTGGTGCAATACCTGCTAGCATAAAGATGAATAACGGAATAGAGTACGTTCGACTCCATCGCAAGAATTTCTTCAGTATAGACAATTCAGAGTTCCATCTGGACTAGCGGCGGTCATGGGCGATTGTTCACTACTGACCTTGTGGACTGACATAGTTCACCTCCTAGCTAGTCGCGGATTCACAAGAGTTGACCTAGCAGCATTCCGGTACTTAGCTCTGTTCCACGAAGATGGTAGGGTTCCACTGCTCTAGCTCGTTTTCCACCATAGTCCCTTTTTTTCAGGAGAAAGTCGCGTAGAAAATCGTGCACTGATCCGAGCTGCCAGAGACTCGCTGATTCGATGCTGGGGCGAGTATCGAGGATCGGACGTGGCACTGTTACCTCAGTTTGCTGCCTTTCTACGAATAAGGTCTGTACGTATGCCGTCATCACGATGCCTATCTACCTTTAAAAAGATTTTTCGACGCCAAAACATCGTACGGCTTCCGATTTCGTCCTCGGACGGCGGGAATGCGAGGTTTATTTGAGAAAAACCGGCATCTTTCACTAGCTAGCATTCACCGCAGCAATAGGCATTTAGGCCGGTTTCGTCATGCTTCTTCTCCAAGAGATCCGAGCAAATATGGGAGATGGGAGAGACCTCAATATAGTGTATTAGGGTAGAATGAAATCATGATTTTTACCATATGATCGCTCACAGTTTAATGTAAGCATAGACCAAACTATTACAGTGAGCTGAGGTGCACGAATATCAGTGTCTTGTTTGGTGGTCTGATAAAACCAGTGAAAACGCAGAGCACTTTCCTACTCTTGGAATAAATCCATTTTCATTTCGAATAGATAGGAGAAACTTCAATGCGAAATTCATTTAACAGTTTTTTAATCGAATCAGTGAAGCTTTCCTGAAAACACTTCTTGATTTTGTAAAGCATGGTTC